AAGTGATTCCCCCCAGGACAATTCTGATGAGCTGTTGGAGCAGCCCACTGATGCTGGCAGGGACTCAGCCCCAGCCCAGTGTGATGAGACAGCAAAGCAGACCACTGGTGGGCATGGGGTTGAGAGAAATTTTTAGGTTTATATGTTTTATTAGATTTACATGGTTAACTATGTCTTAATAGTAACTGGGACAGGCGGTACAGAGAGCGGAGGCTGGTGCGGAGCTCTCCAGCTAGGCTACTGTGTGCACAGGGCACCCCTGAGAGTAACATGGATAGAGGTGAACAGACGTATGCCCCACATAGTCAGTGACTGAACCCAAGGCACGTTGAGTTGGAGATTCTTTTTTTTTTTTCCTAAAGATTTATTTTTTACAAGAGCTGGGGTACAGTCCAGAGGCACGGGAAGGTGAGAGAATTCACCAGAGACAGAGTGGGGAACAGAACAGGCACATTGACCGAAATACACTGCTGAGGGGAGCAGCAGGCGAGACAGGAGATATCTGCCGCGCCATGTGGGTAGCTCCCTGGCCAGCTGGGAATCGAACCGGTGCCCAAAGGCTGCGGACAGCTTCACAGCACTGCACTCAACCCACTGTGCCACCGGGGAGGCCTGATTTGGAGATTCTTGTGGGGTAATCAGACCAAGAATGTCAGCAGAGGAAGGGAGAGTTTCCATGGCACCAGGAGAGTTAGCAATAGCAAATGTTCCACAAAGGTCAAGAAAAGTAAAGATTCAAAAGTAGCCACTGGGTTTGTTAACTAGGATGTCAACCATTACCTTGGAAAGGGCAGTTTCAGTAGAAGAGGAAAGAACCAGTTACAATGGACTGGTAAGTACAAAACTTTTAGGAAGGCATGTTTAGAATTAACCTTCTAATGGAGAACTAGTGGGGAGAGAGATGGATGAAGAGATGTGACTAAGAAGGCAAGAGACAGGACAAGGATGAACAGCACCCACCTCTGCCTCAGTGACTGACTGTCCCGCAGAATGTCACTGGCTGTGGGTTGTGGGGAGCGGCTCCTCTTTTCCTTCACAGACCAGCTGTCCTCGTATCCACGCTGGTACAGCTGGGAGAAGCTGCAGTACCTGCGCCTCTGTACTAGCAGCTTGGGAGAATTACACCATGTAGAGCAACTTTCAACGCGCTACACCACTTTGCTGTCCTGGTAAGGCCCAGCTGATGAAGGCAGGACCTTCCTTCCCGGCTCCAGGAGGTCCTATTTGCCTCTGTAGTGCCCTAGAGCACCCAGGAAGACCTGGGACATGGGCCTGAGAGAGGTGGCCCAGGAGGAGAAGTCATTTCCTTTCTTTTTGGGCTAAGGCTGCTATTTAAACCCTTGCATGACAGACACTGAGACTAACCCCTCCTTCAGAGAGGAACCTGCTACATTCTCTGCCACACAGAGTTACAGAACCTTCTGGTCCAAAAGAACAATCATGGCAGAATAGTAGAGTCCAGTAGTCACAAAGGACAGATGGCTCCTGCTTTGGGGTTAGTCTAAGACAGCAGAGGTGGTAGGTAAGGAAGAATGCACGGGATGGGGAAGAAGTTTAAGATGTATTTTGTAGTCCGTGTGAAATGAAATCCTAGGACTACTGATGAGATGCACAGTTGTGGATCAGTTGGAATATGGAGAGGAATAGTTGGGCAATGGAAATTGGAACCAATTAGAAAAGCATAACATATTGTCTGACAGCACCAAAAGCCCCACTGATCACAGAAATTGTACACTAGCCAGTGTGGCCATGTGGTTTTTTATTTTTTATTTTCTCCAGCAAGCAGGGAGTTGGGGGGCTGGATGGAGAAAGTCCTGGTTGGATTTATGGGAAGCTGTAGACTGTCACACTAGACACAAATGAAGGACAATGATATGATGCATCCAGGAAGAGAGTGAGAATGTGGTTGAAAGTTTGCCCATGAGGTCCAGGCTGGGTAGGGTAGAAAAGCAAGAGCAGTGATGGAGAGGGTTGGGGTGGAGGTATAAGTCTTTCTAAGGTTGGCAGAGGGGCCTAGGGGGAAATGAAGGCATGGGAGGGGTGAAAGGATAGTTTCTGAGTTTCCGACTTCAGAGATGACATAGTTCTTGAGCTTGGGATGTGGGAATGTTACAGAAGGGAAGTTGGTTGGGAGTTCCCCATTACACACTGGGATATATAAAATGTTGCAGTCATCAGACTACTAAACTCTTTAAAATAAATTTGCCCTTGAAAACCAGATTGATGAGACACACATAACTGCAAATTTTGGAAGGCATTTGCTACCCTTTTCTTATCACGCAGTTAGGAGGTAGGATAGAAAAAAATAGGCCTCCCTATAGATCTTATAAAGAACAATGTGTGGGTGTCCTTCTCTTAAAAGAAAGAACTAACACAATAGCAAGTTTTGTATTTCAGATTTTTTACTTCTCTTGGAAAAAATAAGATGATCCTGCCAGCATTGGGCCAGGATTCCTTCCTCACTAGGTTAACTGAGCCCCCACCTCCGATTGCTGCCCCATATGAAACTGTCAGTTGCTATTTATTATCATGTTCACACTGTCTTTCTTAGAGTTAAGAAGAAAGTGACATGTCTTATAAGCAAGGCTCTTTCAAAATTGGAAAGCTAAAGGTAAATTACCTAGAGTATTTCTCTCTATTTGATATGTAAATGTCACTGTTGAAAACTGTAGGTGACTGTGCTATTATGAACAAATTCTTCTAGCTTTACTCATTACATTACCTGGCTCCTACAGGCATCTAAATATACAGAGATGCCTATAGAAGAAATACAATAAAAATACCTGAGTATTTACAAAAATAGTGTTGATATAAAACAGTAATTCTTAGAGCCAATCAAATTGCTTTTGCTGATAGAATAATCTTATCAAATCCCCAGTAATTAACAGATTCTCTTAAAGCACTACCTAACTCAATAGCCACTGAGAACAATTTAATGAATCCACACAGTAGTTCTTCATTGGCTGGAAAACATCAATGTAATCCCCCAAGTACCGAACTTCTTGATAGTCATGTTCACTTGCAGAAGATGGAAAGGAAAATAGGTGAAGGATCTTTAGTGTCAGAGGGGAGGAAGAATAAGAAAATGAAAATTTGGGAGAGGTCTGATTTGTCTCCCTGATGCTCATAAAGAAAGGCCTTGCTCAATCTTGTTGAGGGTTACGATAAACATAATCCAAGCTTTAGGAGCAAAACAGTTAATCTAATAATCTTGGATTACTAAGGCAGGAAGCAAGGGCTAGCCAAGGTGGACCAGTGCATTGACATGATCTATTCCTTAAAGCATTTTGGGCACCTGCTTTCTGCTCTAGTTTTCCTTTACATTAAGTCTCGGGAGCAGCCGACTCCAAAGGCTCAGAGGTGGAACCGTGTCTTAAGAGAAATACAGGAAATACAATGAGATTGGGATTTGGGAAATGAAAATGGCCATAATACATTGAGAGAAAAAAAAATCTGAGAGCCAAGTGCTCAGTGAGTCAGAAAAACTTCGAGAGTTATGATGTTAGAGCTTGCGAACTGGAAACCAGATAGGAATTGGTAACCAACAAGGGTCTCACTGACAGCAAGAAGTCAATAAAAGCGTCAGTGTTATTTCGGGAGAATAAAAGAAAGATATTATGGACCAGGGAGCCTGACTAGCTCATGCCTGACCAGGCATTGAATTAAAGATACAAATAGAAGGCAGTTTAGTGAGTGGTGGCAACGATGATTAAGCTGAGATGGACTGGAATATGAAGAAAACTGAAAAGACAAAGCTGTGTATTGCTAGCACGACAAGATAATGAGATTTAAGGATATCTGTTGACTTTAAACATTTTGAACAAATTATCCATCTGACTCTAACCAGTTGTCTATAAAGAGGTACTAAATTGGTGTAAGTACCCCGGAGGAATCCAGAATGAGCATTTTATTAATGTCTCGCCCATCTCTTATTACCCTGCTCTGAAAATTTGTCTGCAGGACCTATTAGACAGTATTTGCTGAGGAATCACTAGGATATTTTGGCTCTTTTCCTAACTTTAACTTCCATGAATTTTACAATGCCACGAAAACACTTGAGCAAGAATTTTGGCAAAATATTTACAATTTCTTCAATAACATTGCTCACGGAATAGGAGAAATGGAAAGCAATAATTTAGTAACTGCAGAGAGACAAGCAACAAGGAGGAGAAACAATTGCTTACTCTGCTGTTTGTGGTGAAAAAAATCTGAGTTTAGCTATTAAAAAGCCTGTCGGGAGCCGAGAATTGCACATGTCAGAGGAACACGCTGCTTCGCCTCACCATGGAGGAGAAACGGTACCTCCAGTCTGGCTGATTGTGTGATGAAGGAGAACAGCTATAACATCAGCAGGCTTGTGACCAGCGCCTTGTGGGAGACAAGCATTTAGGGGGATAAAAAGGAACCTGGCAGAGGGCTTGGGCTCCTGGCATCGGTAGTTACAGGGCTGCCAAGATGCTTTGGGAAATGCTTTAATTTAAATGCCAAGTCTGTTTCAATGAAGGCTCCCTGGTTTGACCTGTTGGGAGTCCAGAGTGAGATGGATAGGTGCTCATTTTGGAAAGCGTTAGATGAATTTGATGGGGGTTTTATAAAAACCATCCTGGAGGTTTAAATCTCTGTAGGCCCCACTCACCCCGGAGCCTTATGATACCATCAGCAGAATATATGGCTCTCAGCATTTTCCTAGTGATTGCAGGAAAGGGCAAAAGATACCTCCAGGCAGTTAGTCAGAAAACATCAAAATTAGAGAACTTTGAATAAAGGCCTGCACCCTCTTTCCTCCTGGCAACACACTGATACGACTATAAATTTGATAAGGCAGATTAAGAATCTGATTTCAATTGTTCCATTATTTTCCTGCAAAACTATAAAAGACAGAAAAAAAAAAAAAAAAAAAAAAAAACCTTTGACCCCAAAGCCGGGGGAAACAGGAATAGGGGTGATGGGACAGAATAAAATATTAAGATGTTGTCCAACGATGTGAAAATATTTGTTAGCCTGTAGGCCCAGGTTGACAAGAGACGGATGTAAGCATGTCCGATGGTCTGCAAAAGCATGGCTCCAGAAGATCACAAGAATGAAAACGCCCCCAACAATAACACGAAGGTATTTGAAGTTGCTCGGTGGCAAGGGCAGGAATGTTTATGTATGGAAAGCCCATTTCCTTAGAGGCTACTTGGCAGTTTGCTACAACATCATGCTAATGAAAGCAAAGTCTTTAAGTTCACCCCCCAGTGGACTATCAGGTTCTCCTCCGCGCCCGCCCAGTGGGAAGCGCGTTCCCAGAGTAGGAAACCCTAGCCAGAGAAGAGTTGGGGAGCCAGAGGAGGGCAGGAGGCTGAGCTTGGGAGACTGGGATGGGCAGGTGGGTGGGTACAGGCTGGGTGGAGCCTCCTCGGGTACCACAGCTGCGGAGTTTGGGCCCAGTGTGGCTCCAGGGATGGAGATCCAGGGGAGGTATTGGGTTTGGGGTCCGGTCACTCCCCGAGCGTCGTAGGGAGCTGGGGTGGGGGGCGGGCAGCAGACCAGAATGCGAAGGGCCGGCTGTAGTGGCCGGGGTAGGATGCTGCCCCGAAAGACAAGCCTGACCTCGGGCGGGGTCCGCTGGCATCCCTGGTGGCGGGATCGGGAAGGACACGGGGAGCGGGGACCGGGGCGATAAATCCCTGCAGGGCGACCCAGAGGGCACGGCATAGGCTCAGCGAGGGCCTGCGCTCCTCGCCTCGCGCCAGCGCCCCCCACCCCCGCTCCGACCTCCTTGCACCCGGTTGAATTAACCCGCAGCTCTGGAGCCCAAGGGCACCGAACTGGCTCCTGCATGTGAAGTGGGTCTGGTCTGGCCCGCGGGGGACAGCCGGAGGGGGGGCCCGGGGGGCCTTCTCCGGAGAGGGCTGCGAGGGGATGAGCCCCGCGCGCCCAGCGGGGGCTGGAGGGAGGCGCCGCGGCCGAGCCCCCGAGCCCGGGGACCTTCGCCCCGGGCCCGCGGCCTGCGCGGTCGCTGCCCCTGCGGGCGCCCGGCTGCTGACTGGCGGTTGCCGCAGCTCCGGGTGCGGGGGCGACCCGCAGCCCCCGCCCGCCCGGCAGCGAGGCTCCCGCAGCCCGATGCCCCGGCCGGGGAGCGCAGCCGCGACGGCGGCGACCTCGAGCGGGAGCCGGGCGGCTCGCGGTGGGTCGAGGGGCGGCCGGGAGGGGCCCCGCGGCCTGCAGGGGCAGCGCGGAGCCGCAGGAGCCGGGGCGGGCGGGCGGGCGGGGGCGGGAGGCGCTGGGCTGCCCCTGCAGGCGCAGCCCCCCGCCGCGCGGCGACGGTGCGGGCCCGGCCGCCCCTGCCCGCGGGGCGCTTCCTCCGGGCGCCGAGGCCACAGCGGGGACCCGGGGGACGTGGCGGGGCCCGGCACGCGGCGGCCTCCCGGGAGTTGGGCTCCGGGCGACCCCGGCGTCACCTCCACCCGCCGGGGCCGGGAGCCCCCGGGCGGCGCCTCCGCGTGGCCAGAGAGCGTCGGGGCGCGCGCGCTTCCCCGCACCCTGCGCCCCAGGTGGGCGCCCGGGCCCGCGCGCCCTGAGCCTCTGGGGGGAGCCCCGGAGCCTGAGGGGGGCGCCCCGTTACTTCAGGGTGGGGGGTGGCCGGAGCTCCCGAGCCTGAGGGGGCGCCCTGTACCTCAGAGTGGGGGGTGGCCGGAGCCCCAGAGCCTGAGGGGGCGCCCCGTTCCTCAGGGTGGGGGGTGGCCAGATTCCCAGAGCTTGAGGGGGCGCCATGTACCTTAGGGTGGGGGGGTGGCCAGAGCCCCAGAGCCTGAGGGGGCGCCCGTTCCTCAGGGTGGGGGGGTGGCCAGAGTCCCAGAGCTTGAGGGGGCGCCCTGTACCTCAGGGTGGGGGGGGGTGGCCAGAGCCCCAGAGCCTGAGGGGGCGCCCTGTACCTCAGGGTGGGGGGTGGCCAGAGCCCCAGAGCCTGAGGGGGCGCCCCGTTCCTCAGGGTGGGGGTGGCCAGAGCCCAGAGCCTGAGGGGGCGCCCCGTTCCTCAGGGTGAGGGGTGGCCGGGGCCCCCGGCCTGAGGGGGCGCCCCGTTCCTCAGGGCGGGGGGTGGCCGGGGCCCCCGAGCCGGCGCCCCGCGGCCGGGGTGAGCGCCGGGCCGGGTTATTTGCGGCGCCCGCGGCGGCGCGTGTGCCGGGGCGTGTCTCCCCCCGGGTGCCGGGAGCGGGGCCGCGGCCGCCGGCGCTGACTGGGTGTCTCTGTCGCCCCTGCAGGGATCTTCTGCTCTTCCTGCCGCCCGGACTCCAGGCGCGCGCGAGGCGAGCCCGAAACAAACATCACAGCTAAATTAAAAAAAAAAAAAAAAAAAAGAAGCGGAAGAAGCGGCCGCGGCGGCGGGAGCGGCGGGAGGAGGGGCCGCGCGCGGCGGCCCGAGGCGGCGGCGGGGACGCGGGGACGCGGGGACGCGGCTTTGTGCTGGCGGGTCGCGGGGCGCCCATGGCGGAGTGCGGCCGGGGGGCGCCGCCGGCGGGGCCCTGCCCACCTCCCCGGGCCCGGCCCTCGGCGCCAAGGGCGTCCTGAAAGCCGGAGCCGCGGAGGGCGGCGGCGGAGGGCGCCTCGGCCACGGGCGGGCGCGCTGTGACAGCGGCGGGGTGTCCAACGGAGACTGCAGCCTCGGCGTGTCCGGGGACGAAGCCCGGGCCAGCCCCGCCAAGGCGCCCCCCGGCGCGGCGCTCGCCGCGACTCCCAGCCCGGCCGCCTGCCCTCTCCCCCGGGAGAGCAAACCCGGCGGCCTGCCCCGGCGGAGCAGCATCATCAAGGTAGGGGGGAGAAGGGCGCGCTCCTCGCGGGTCCCCGGCGGCCCTTGGGGGGTCCGTTCCCCTGGGGGGAAGCGGCGGTGGGAGGAGGGGGTGCAAAGGGGAGCTCTGGGCTAACGGGAACCCCTGGTGCATGGGTGCTTGGCATGGTGTGAGCAGACGCTGGATGCAAATGGCAATTGCAGAGAGGGAGAGGTGATCGGTGCAAGGGGGAGCTGTACTCACACATCCCCAGTTGAACTTGGGGCTGTCACCTTCCCCAGGATTGGCCCGGATTTATGGCCTGTACCTGCCCCGGCAGGGCATGTCCTTCGGTGATAGCCTCGGCTGCTGACCGACTCCTGGGAGGTTTCTGTCGGATTTTAAGACAGTGATGATGTGAAGACATTTTCTTGAAAATCCCAGGCAGCGAACAGACATTATTTAATCGGTCCTTGGCAGTCTGTCTGGTTGCCTCTTGCGAATGGAGACTCTTCAAGGATGCAGAATCGCCTGTCGTGCAGTCACACGCAGAAATGGACTAGGTTCCTGAACGTATTTCTGCTTTCTGAGGCTCAGAAGCGCTGGGAAATTACAGTTCTGCTCGATTTAATCTTTTCCTTGCTGCAGCAGGCAGGCCTCCAGTTCTGTGGAAGTTCTTTTGGGCAGTTTTCTTGGTTTTGCTATCTTTTGCACAGTGTTATTTAGTAGAAGAAAGCCGGCGATTAGTCTGTGCATTTTAAAACTCAAGCAGTATATTAGGAATTCCTCAGTGTGTGGTGGTTTCAGTCTCATGTTACATTTTGGTTTGCACTGTAAAAATATTTCTCATGTCATGAGGTGAAAAAAATAGTTGATGAGCTAAGAAAAGCTGAGCTTTAGGCAAGACTGGCTCATTCTACTCAAGTTGGAAGCCGATAAGAAAATGTTGCCTTCTGAAATCAAGGGGTTACCAGGACAGTGAGCTGCTAAGCACATTGACAAGGGTGCATCCTCCCTTCCTGTGACTGCTAACCGTGGCGAGACAGGGCAGAACCAGTCACGGGAAGCAGGTGGGCACTGGTGGTATTTGGAATTTAATGGGACCTACAGAAGTCTTCTAAGTACCATGCACTGTGTCTGGCGGTGTTACCAACTTTCGCAGTTATCTAGTGAAATATACCACCTTGCTAGTGGCTGTAACAGGCAGTTGTGAAACTGCTTTTCGCTTTGTCATCTGTTTGCACAGTTTATGTCTAGGCAAGGGGGCAGTTGAAGGGCTTAAAGATCAAGTGTATTAACCACCAGCCGCATGCTTTGAGAGTTTAAGGAAAGGGAAGTATCTTTTCGCTGCGTGCCTAGCTTTTAGTGACTTACATTTTCTTTTCCTCTGTAGTTTAAGTAGAATAGACGTTGCTTTCGGCGGTGGGTGATGATCTTATTGACCCATCAGAAGACAAGTGTGTGTCTTATGTTTTGTTTTTTTTTTTTGATGCCAGATATTTTGGGTGACTTTCCATTGTGTCATTAATGAAATCTAAGGTGAAAATTCCAGAGAAAATACCAGCTTACCTAATTTTAACTTCTCTTTTTCTTTTCTTTTCTTTTTTTTTTTTTTGCAAGTGGGACCTGGATTTTGTGTACTTTAAAAAAATTAAAACTTTATTGGTGTCTATAGTAGGGTTCACAGGTAATTGTGACAATGATTTAATTACAGCCACATCAGTTTTGATTTTACCTTTGTGGGAGATTAGAAAGAAGGTTGGTTTGCCAGTTTTTCTGCTATCTGGAATTGAGAACTTTTTGGTGGTTGTTATTTCATTATTGAAGATTCTAGAAGCATATGGGGAAACGAATCATTGGTTTTTGAACTCTGAAACTTTCAGATATCTTTTTCATTTTCATTCTAAAGAAGGAAGTTGATTTCTTGTTCGTAGTTTCATTAGATTGCTTCCTGGATCAATGGAGGAATGACAGAGGACATACATGTTTCCTTTAACTTCTGTTCATTGCTAAAATGAGTGGTTTTGGATTTACCTGTCTCATTTCTTGTTTATTACCTTACACCACCTAAGCCCACTTAATTGACTCCTTCCTCATGCAAGTTTCCAACTTGCATTTACTTAAACATCCATCAAAACTATGGAAACAGTGTTGAAAGTTAATCGATCCTGAGTAAAGGACATCGACATGCTGTATTTAACAAGGTGACCACTTGGTACTCTTTTCTTTATGTGGAAAGATCAAGATTTTAGACATTTAGCATATTTTCTAAAGACATAATAGCGTTCAGTCAATACCCGTATACAATAAAGAGATCTTTAACATCGAATTTCACAGAACAGTGAAGAGCACATGAACATTTTTGTCACATGAATGGCAG